GCTGTCTCGTGTATTCAACATTTTCTTGTTGTCAAGCATGATGCCAGGAACTAAAAACTAACTTTAAAAATAAAGTTTTGATCTTGAGGGTTCAGACTTAAACCCCTTTTTATCAGTTTAAAGGGACTGTAAGCGTGATTTCAAGTGACCCTCCATGCAAAGATAGCAATGCCCAATTCACAAAGGTACACTTAAAAGCTTTGTCTGATCAATTTTAATCTGTATATGTCAATATTTAAAATTTTGAAAACTGATTTTTCAACTGAGGTTTCCATTCTATTATCATGAAAAAACGAAAATATCACATTATTGAGGTTTCAGGGGTATCGTTGTGAATAGGGTATTGCCATCTTTGCATGGAGGGTCATTTAAATTACGATTACAGTCCTTTTAAATGATTATTTTTCTCCAACTGTAGTGAGTCAAGAAATAATCTTAAAATATTTTGAACAGAGAAAACTTTGTTTTATGAATAACATATATCTAATCATTAAAAATAATTCGTAAAAAGTTGTGTTCAAGATTTTCAGAATTTGGTTTAGAAAAAATATAGTTTTCGCTTGAAAAATTATCCAGCTTTTAACTAATGCAATTTCAAAAGTTTTGACAGAATTATTTTGTTAAACTTTTCTAGTATCTTAATTTTAAAAAGCAAATTGGAGTTATAAAGACATCAAATATTAAAAAAAACTTATTAAAGCCTATTTTTGCTGTTTATTATTTTTATTTTTATTTTATAAGACTGTTCAAATGAAAAAGGCTGGTTTACACTGCTCACACTTTCTGTGTCTCATGCTTATTGGGCTGTTTAAATTCATAACTTGAATCTTAAAGTCGTCTTCCTATTCCAGGATTTTTTGATTCCCAGTATAATTTATCTATATATAAAAAGTTGTAAAATCTGTTTGTCTGTATGTTCGAACCTCCGATCATAGCTCAGAAACCCCTTGACCGATTTGCCTCAAATTTTGATTGGGGAACCCGGGAGACCCACGTGAATGTTCTTAGCTTGGTTTTGAGATACTAAGTTTAGTGTGTCCACTATTAACGGTAAAAATAGCTCAAATTATAATTTACGACAAGGGTGGGTTACGGTGGAACTAGCATGTGACTTTCCTCGGGCACTCTGTGTTTATAAAGTTTATTTTTGGTTATCCAGGTATACTGTAGAACAGGCTCTCAAGGACCCATGGATAGATACTGCACAGTGTAAATCAGATCTGGCAGGATTAGAAGAACAGGAGAATATCACAATAATGATAATGATAATAATAATAATAATAATGATAATGATAATGATAATGATAATGATAATGATCATGATAATAATAATTGATAATGATAATAATAATAATAATAATAATAATAATAATAATAATAATAATAATAATAATAATAATAATAATAATGATGATGATAATAATAATGATGGTTATTATGATACTGATAATGATGATAACAATCATAATGTTCATATTAATAATAATCATATTGATAATATGATGATAATAATGTCAAAAATATTAGCTATAATATTGTGATTTTTTTACAGTTGGGTGTTCAGTGGCTAACTGTAGATAAGGAAAAAAGAAACTTGATTTTAGTTTAAATTTGAATTGGTTTAATCAAACCAAATTTTAAAGATTTTGAAATAATTTCATATTACGAAGAAATTTTTATTTGGATTTTAAAGGCCTTTGACTGCTTTTCGGAGTAACCGAATGTTTGTTTCTTTCATTTAGATAGTATAATTTATAAACCTTGTTTTTAGAAAATTTAGCACCAAAAATTGATATGTTGAGAATTTTGATTAATCACATTGATATTAGAAAATTGAAATAGTAGAAAAGGCTGATTAATAGTACTTTTTGAACCTTAGATTGCGAATTGGGAGGAAGATAATGAAAGACTTGTTAGAAAACTCTCTGTCAGTAAACGACAAAAATAATCTCCAAAATCAGCTGATTTTTGGCGGGAAATCAGTTCAAATGAACCAAATGCCGCGAAAATCAGCTAACTCGGAACTTGAATTATAATGTGTCATCATTGGCTCCACAAATTGTACCACGTCAAAATTAGCTTTAATTCATATGTTATTAATATAACATAAAAGTGAACTCTAGTCTATTCTTCAGTTATAAACCGAACTGGAACTATAATATTAGTTAAGTCTGTTATCTAAATGTATAATCTGGTATACCAGAGCTAGTTAAACCTGAGCTAGTAAATTCAACAGTTTACAGCTTAGTTCAATGAACGAATGCAGAGGAAACTGTGGATTCAATTAGAAACAAGTAAATATATATGGGGTACCACGTTTTCTACAATGTCCTGTGATTGTCTGCTTTTTGTAATTTTATTCACAAATCATGTTTTGTAAAAAAGCAAGATTTGTTAAACATATAATCATTGCAAGGCCTTCAGTGAGGCACTGTACTGTCCTGTTGTGCAAGGTGTTGTATTCTGTACTTGTAATGTGGTTTTGATACGTATGTCATTAATCAGTATATGTTTTCAAAACCTGAAAACTAGGCAAAAATATGGTTCTGGAGGGGTATAATGATGATAAGTCCAGGCTGTCCCAATAAACGTTGAAAAAAGAAAATTCTCTTTGATTTTCCTGTGTTGAAAATAACAAAGAGTTTTTAAAAAAAAGGATTATACGTCGCATGAGCTTTGTATTTTTTAAAATTGACGGAAACATGTGAACATTTTTTGTTTTTTATTTCTTAAATATTAATCTGAACAAATGTTTTAATAACCCATTCAATTTTTAAGATGCAAAAATGAGAGACCACATTTTGGAAATCCCGAGGCCATCAGTTTTCGGTGTTAATTTTCTTGACTTAGATATTACCAACATCATTTACACGACGAAGACGATACAGAAGGCATTATTTAATCACCATTTTATTGAAACACCTGTTTCAAAAGGGGTGGCGAGGATTTAATAGTTTTCCTTCACTGTAAACATATTATATTAAGCAAAGTTTGCTTATTCTTTACTTTGTAAATTAAATATTTGGTTTTCCAGGTCTCTATTAATATATATATTGTTTTGTAAAATTTTTATTCATTTAAGTCTTTTTCAAATGGAAAGATAAAACTTAAATATAATTTTCTACATTATTTGATTAGCCAAATTTAGCATGATATTACATTTGTGCATGTTTCTAACTATATCTACACGTTTTTGCATGGTTTAGCGATTTACATATATTTGTATAATTCTAACTATTCACAGGAATTTGCATGATTTTAACAATTTGCACATTGTTCTGCACAGTTTTGTTTATTTTGTAAGTTTATTTACACCACTATCCTCGTATCTTTATCTAAATCTTTCATTTTTAAAAATGATAAATTATTATTATTATAAAATTATTTATATTCTAGAGATACAACAGAGTGTTATAAATCATATATTTTATTCATAATTTTGACTTTTATTAAGCAAAAGAAAGCATATAGAAAACATTTCGTTCGAAATTAACAAAAAGCTCGAAATAATGAAGAAAATGTTCTAAATAATAATCAAAATGTTCAAATAATGAAGAAGAAGTTCAAAATGATAGCGAAAAGCTCGAAATAATTAAAAAAATGTTCGAAATGATGAACAAAATATTCAAATAATGAACAAGATGTTCAAAATGATGAACAAATGTTCAAAATAATGAACAAAATGTTCAAATATTGAACAAAATGTTCATATAATGAACAAAATGTTCGAAATGATATACAAAATGTTCAAAATAATGAACGAAATGTTCGAAATGATGTACAAAATGTTCAAAATAATGAACAAAATGTTCGTAATGATGAACAAAAAGGACAATGATATTTTCATTTTTCATTGGAAATTTAATAATCTTCTCTGGAAATCGACTAGCGAATGTCTATAAAACGGCTTTAAAGAAATCGCTAAATCAAAATTCAATCCAGTTTTGAAAACAGATTTTTAAAACATTTGCAAATTTCAAACAAAATCAGAACATTCACGTTGCATCAAGCATTTATATCCATCTTGTACAGACTGATTTTATTCCTCTTGGACATCTTGAAATGATATTACTACTCAAGGATAGATAAGATGAAAGGATCAATATTTATTAAATATTACTATTCAAGGATAGATAAGATGAAAGGATCAATATTTATTAAATATTACTATTCAAGGATAGATAAGATGAAAGGATCAATATTTATTAAATATTACTATTCAAGGACAGATAAGATGAAAGGATCAACATTTACTAAATATTACTATTCAAGGATAGATAAGATGAAGGGATCAATATTTATTAAATTAAGATATCAAAGTGGATATTGAGATCAATAAGATATAGTTAATCGACCAACTCTACACTCGAAGTTAGAGCTGGGTGTGTTCCTACTTTTTTGAAATTGTTCGTTCCGTTCGTCCTCGTAAAAGAACTAGCATTTCCAAGGAACAACGCCCAACCTTATTCGAAAAATCCTATTTATCCATAATATTATTTGATCTTAATTAAAAATATTTTCTGGGAGGAAATATATCCAGAACTGGATTCTATTTATAAGACGGGTGGATTTAATTTAAAAGACGTGAAGCTACATAGCTTTATATTATACAATATGCAGTATACTTTTTACGAAAACACAGATATGTGGGTTTCTGATTTATTCCTCGACCTATAGAATTAAACTGTGGGATTATTATGTAAATCATTTTAAAAGTAAGTGAAATGGATCTGTATACACTGCACAGTTAGAATGTAAAAATACAGCATAATTGCCATGAGTTTCATTAAAAAAAAAACAATCTTGGCCATTATTTTGCTTGTATTTGCAGTGCATACTTGTTCATTAAAAATATGTATGCACTCTGTTAAAAAAAGTTTAGGGTTTGTTAGGATATTCATGAGTTTTTTTTTGTAAACATCTCATTAAAACCTTGGAAAGAGACAGACTTTGAGAGAAAAATGTTTTTAAAACAAAAAATAACATTTTTTCATTTTTAGGTAAAACTTTGCGATTTCGGATTTGCTCGAATTATCGGAGAGAAGGGTTTCCGTAAGAGTGTTGTGGGAACCCCGGCCTACCTGGCCCCTGAGGTTCTTAGGAACAAGGGGTACAACAGGTCCCTGGACATGTGGTCAACTGGGGTCATCATATACGTCTCTCTCTCAGGTACACGCAGTACAGTATACAGTTCTTTGTTAAAGGGGCTGTTTTAGACAAGGAGATATTGCATAGAAGGAGGGGGCGATAGGGTTTCCGTACACTTTGCTGTTGACGTTTTTGGACTGCTGAAGAACTAGTTTTTGCGTAACAACAATAACAAAGGCAGCCGATCTAATGTAAACAAACATAAGTTAGTAAACTGTAAAAGTAGAATTATCTTGTTAAAAAAGATTGAAAAAGTTAAGGATTTTAGTTTCATACGAAAAGGACCTTATTACAGAGACATTTTCAATCAAATTCAAGGTTATCCTGCCCCCCCTCTTGATGTCTGTTTATCATTTGTGTTATTGTTTACAACCTTTATTATTGTTCTTCAGCTATAGCATGTCGGCTTTAAAGTGGTACCCTGTGAACCCTCGACTGAACAAAAAGGATAAAGACGACCTTTTTCTATCGTAAACTTAATAATTTCATATTTGAGCGGGGTAAGGCAGGCGTCCATCAGCCACAAACAACTGTTCTGTCTTCCATGCCCCAACATTTTCGCTTTCCGTCAATTACTACTTCTTTAAATGTTAAATTTAGTGCATTCAACTTACAATTTTCTAAAATACCCCACTTTTTATTATTATCCACACTTTTCATTATTTTATACATGATTTCCCTGCAGTCGAAGGAAGGACTGGGAATTCTAAGAAAAAAAATCATATTTCGCAAACCTTCTATAGAAAAAATACCAAGATTGCTCTTTAATTATTCTCTGTTTAAAAAATTTGTCAATTTTGAGGAAGATAGCTCTGAATGGTAAAAAATGTCTTATTATTATTATGATTTATTTATTTGTCGAACACATTATTTATAAAATTGGTTCAGTTCAGATATTAGATTAGAGATTAAATATGAATTCAATTCACACAAAAGTTGTGAACACTGTGGCCGAATTTAAAGAATTTGAGCGGCGGTTTAAATTTAAGCCGCGGTTTAAATATGGTTGGTTCCACTTAATATTGTATCAAATGTTTCAAGATTTAAGCCGACGCTGAATTTAAACCGGGGTTTGGCGGATTTAAACCGCGGCTCAAATTCTTTAAATTCCTTCTCTGAACTAACAACTTTTATTCTTTTATGATGTCGTCTTCTTTACAATCCTGGAGCTGTAATAGGAGAGGCTGCAGACATTCGATATTATGTTATATGTTATATCTTTATAAGGAAAAGGGGGGATGCTCCGCCCCCCCCTCACCGCCCTTATTGGATAGTCGGGTTGGAAATGGGTTAATTTCACGGCTGGAGAAATATTGAGATCAACAGTCAAACAGAATACTAATAAACCATTCAACAGATAACAAGGATAATACAGGGGGACCCACGAAGAATGATACGTTTTCCTTTCGTTGCAAAATTGTTTTTTAGCAAGCAACTGAGAGACTTTAATCAAGGCAGAAGATTTAATTTATTCCTATTCCACAGTAAAAAATTAGTTTTTAGTTTATTTTAGTTTTAGTGCCCAAATATAAACATACTAGGTTTACTTGAAAAATACATGATTTTCATAAAAGTCAAATCAACTTAGCATTTAAACCAAGCTGAAACCATTAGAACCTGGAACCTTAGAAGATGTTTATTTACCTTCCTCCCAGAAACCGCAGTACATTAGGATTACCATAGATATTCTTTTCCCTAAAGTTGGAAATTAAATGTCTGGAAACTGTAGCCTTGAGTGTTCTTTGACTCAAGTTTTTGCCAAAAAATAAGAATATCAGAGTCATCTTGTTGATAAAAAGGTTTAATAGATGTCAATCCTTCTACAATTTGAGGTTAAATTAAAATTAAGTTAACAGTCAAGACTATATTTATTTCAGGAACATTTCCCTTTAACGAGGATGAAGATATTCATGAACAGATTCAGAACGCGTACTTCATGTATCCTCCGCATCCTTGGAAGGAGATTTCAACGCAGGCGATAGATCTCATTAATAACCTTCTCCAGGTAGAGAGACAGATAATTATATATATATATATATCCTGAAGAATGCCTAGCATGAAACATACAATACAATAAAACTTCAAATCATGTTTTGAATACTTATTTTCTTAAATATATACATAAATATCTGTCTCTGTCTCTATATATATATATAAACATATGAAAGAATATATACGGGAGTGAATTTTAGGCATAAGAAAATTAAAATGTGATAAAAAAATCCAAAATATTTGGTTTCTTGGGTTTTTGAATAAGATATCAAAAAAAGTGAGCCAACCAGTTGAATTTTTGAAATCATATCAGTTTTAAGGTTATTATTTAATAACGTTTACTGCAGATTTCCACTCTAAAGTTTTACTCATTTTTGTTATATCTCCTTAAATTTTTAAGAAATGTTTTATAAATTTTAGAAAATGATAGAAAAACATTGTCCAACAATTTAAAAAAAAATCATCTTTAAAAAATGGTTTCGCTTTGTAAGGTAGTTGAACTGAGTATGCAGTGTTGTGGACTAATTCTTTAGGATCCATTTGAGACATATAAATCTTTTTAAAGACCTGTAAATCCTGAGTTTGAGCGCAAAGTCGACGTTCAAAATCTTACTTTTTGGCGGATACGTTTTCAGAATTGTTTTTTTAAATTATGAAATAACGACGACAAAAATTGTAAATAAAATTCTATAGTAAACTAGTTAGTTGTTTAGGAACAGGTTTAGAAAATAAAAATTAATCTTATCATCGAAAATTAGTAATCTATTTCAATTATTAGTTTCTAGTTTCTCATTATTCTGGTTTCTCATTATTCAGAAAGATTTTCTGCAGATTTTCTGGAATTATTATTTAAAAGACGACATTTGAAGAATTTGTAAAAACTAAAAGTCTGCGAACAAATTCATGGAAAATATGAATTTCAATATAATGATGAAAACGAAATAATTGATTCTAGCATTGACTTATTGACAAATTTCTTTTGAGAAATATGTTTCTAACCATCTAATTAGTTTACTGTATAATTTTTACTTTATTTTTCGTCGTCGTTATTTAATAATTCAAAAAAAAAAACTATTCTGATTTTAAACATCAAACTCAGTAATCATACATCGTGGAAAAGTTTTTTTATATCTCAAATGAATCCTAAAGAATTTGTCCACGACACTGCATAGTGCATACTCAGTATAACTACCTTACATAGCCGGTCTGTCCCTTTAACGTTCCAAAATCTTATATTTGAATTTTTTCCTTGCATTTAATTTTCTTACATGATTAAACTGCGAATAATGATAATGATGATAAACAAAAAATAAAAAAGTTTCAAAAATAACCAATGATAACCAATAAAACAAAACAGAAACAAAGATCATTATAGTGACAAAAATAATGATCACAATGATAATGATGATAACAATATAAAAAATTATAAAGATGATAACAAAAATAACGTTACTAACGATGAAAATGATTATATCGCTTAAAACAATAATAAAATATAAATTAATTATGATAAAAAATAACAATGATAAAGATGATAACAAAGATGATTTTGTTATTTTTGAAGGTCAAAATGAGGAAAAGGTTTTCTGTAGACAAGTCGCTTCTCCATCCCTGGCTACAGGTTTTTATCTTATTGTATTTAATAGTTTTTTTTCCTTTAATTTAATTTAGTTTAGTTTGATTTAATTCAATTAATGAACTGTTTACGTTCAGAAAGAATTTTAACCACAGAATTAAAATTCCCTTGAAATTGAACATCAAAATTTACCAAGAAAACTTATGGTTTCTGGGATTTATGAAATGTATTACTTTGTTTAAAATTTACACCACATTTTAAAATTTCACAAAGACGTATATCATTTTGATATGCACACATCTCCCTAACTATCCATTAACTAGCGGAGATCAAGTCTCATATTGTTGAGACAGCCTGTAGAGTGAAGGGATAAAATTCATCTGTGAATTAGCATTGGCATCGGGGGCTGGTAAATATCTACCTGCCAGCCTATCTAGCTGGACTGTACTCTTTCAATTGTTTACTAATAATAAATGACATATAAGGAGATTTAGGCCTAATCTATAAATATAATAAATAATCAATTATGCAGTATGCTCTGGGTGTAGTTCCCGGCTCTTTTCCGGTATATACAGTGATAGTCTAAATAAACTGGAATAACGTTAATTGATAGATACTTCATATTCGTAGCTTTAACCTTAGAAACAGTTTACGGTATTCAACATTAGCAATAGATTTTTATGAAACAAATACCACCGGAAAGCCCTAGTCCTGTCATTTCCAAAATGTGGTCTGCCATTTCAGTGCTCTTACAAGATATGATTGATTTCGTTCAGAAGGAGACATTTTAATGGTTTTATTTAATTAATTGAAATTTAAACAACATTTTTATATCTCTGGTATACGAGCAAAAAATAGCAGACCACATTTTGGAACTGGCATGATTAAATTCTACGCAAATGTACACCAAAAAGGAAACACTGGAGTTTCTTTTAATGATACTCTCCTAAATTTCCAGCTCTGGTTTCCCTTTAAATGGAGGATAAATTAAAATTACGTAGACAGTCCCTTTCAATATTGTGTTTAGGACTACGACACGTGGAGTGACCTGCGTGACCTTGAGAAGCGTCTTGAGACAAGATGGTTGACCCATCAGTCAGATGATACTCGCTGGGAGTCACACAGGTACAAATATTGATCTGCATACAGTGAGAACCAGAACACTATGGAATAAGAAGTCGACTTTTAGACTCAAGTGTGTCTTTAAATAGTCCACACTGTTTACAATGCATGCAGTTTTAGACTCTCAAGTGTGTCTTTAAATAGTCCACACTGTTTAAAATAACAGTTTGACGATAATCTGAGCTTTTCTTAAATATACACACCCAGTTTTAGCCTTTCGGACGATTGATTGATTGATTGAGAAAAAAAGATAGAAACGCACGCATATGGAGCTCTAGATCATAATAGACATTTAAGTCATGTTAACTTTGAGCTACTACAAAAAATGTTATCGTGAAAGAAATCACAGTTAACACAAGTTACTTGAACAGGTAGTAGTAACATGACACTACTTTTTATTTGAAACCGGTTCCTCATAGATATTTGAAGTAACATGAAAGTGCAGATTAAACAGTGAAATGAACATGAACACCGCTATTTTGCAGTTTTCTCAGGCCCATTTCATTTCATAAGTGATTTTAAAGTTACTAATAAACAGTTTGCTTTGTAACGACATCAAACACACTGAAGTATTATTTCTTTCTTGTCCACAGTTTTCTGGTTCTCTCTGTAGAGTAGAAGTTTATTCTCATTTGCTTCTGTAAAATATCTACACGTACAGAAAACAGTGCAATTCTTGCATCTTTTCTTTTGATAATGAAATGTCGATTAGGGTTTTTTTTTTTAATTTTCAACTGAAACGTTTGGCAAAGAAAGAAACAAGTTTTCAGCTAATTAAATGAAAAAAAATACTAAAAAATTTCTACGCAGTCGAAATAGAAATACAAAAAATGAAATGCCTTCTTTGTCCGCGGATTTAAATATTACAAATATATATATTCATTGTAAACCCAAGCTTCAGATTTAATTTAGTAGTCACTTCAAGTCTAAAGTATGATTGCTTTGATTTGTTTTGGTTGAAAGTCTCAACCTTTACAGCCAACAAAGTATTGAAGGGTCTATATAGAAGTGTAATTATAGATATTTTTACATGTTACAAACAAAACCGGGCGAATTTTGGTTTCTTTTTAAGAGAGACAAATAGGATCTGATCAGAATTTTACGCTTTTATTAAACAAAAATACAACAACTTCTTCCACATTGTTGTGACGACTAAGAGAAAATGGGTAACAGCACTCCACTCAAATAGTTTCAATATCCGAGCTGATCCAACATGTTTTGAATATGCACTTAATCGTACTGTCCAGTCTGGACTACCATGTGTAAAGTCGGCCCAGAATGTGTAATTTAAAAAATGTTATAGCCTGACAAGATGACATCAAGACAGTGGTTCCGTTGTAGATCGAGCATGTAACACTTTAAATTAAGATGTACTTTAAAAAATTGACTTTTAGGCCCAGGGACCGCCATCTTTCTGACGTCACAGAGAAAGTGGGAGGACTTGCAATGTAACCCGGTAGGACCAACAGTTACAAATGCCGTCCTTGTTTCTGCCGCAAATAATTGCGCACACCCAGTTACCGAATTTACATGATAAATGTTGATGCTCCCAGTCTCTCAATAATTTTAGCAAAATCGAAAAAAAAAATTTTAAAGTGTGCACTTTAACTTTTTACTTAATAAAATATATTCTTGATAGATATATTACAAAAAAAATCTAAGATCTTACCGTTTGCACTTATAATATTATTTGTACAGTTATTGTAATACATTGGTTGTGTACAATGTACATGCTATTTATGTTCTAATCAATCTTAATTGTACAACCTTTTATGTTTCCAAATCATGTGAATGTTCTTAATCTATTTATGTTAAAAACTTTTAACCCATTTTTTCATAAACATATCAAATATTAAAAAAGTCGCATTTATAAAGTATATGCATTGTACAATTTTAACTTTGAAAATGAAAAAAGCGACCTAACTCTTAAACTGATAAATCCCTTAAAAACTAAATTTCACGTTATTTGACAATCATAACATATAATATTTTTCAAATTACTTTTAAAAACCTAACAAAATGGCCTAAAATATACATTTCTGGACTGTTGGCCTATTCAACAAACTGTAACTCTTTGTATCTATTTGTAAATCTATTCGTAAGTTGTAACAATTATGTATTGTTAATTATGTACATGACGGTGTATGCATTAGGCCTATGTACCATCAGTGTTAGAGTTTTGTAATTATTACTGTTTATATTTGTATGTATATGTACATTCCATGTAAAATAAATTTACCAACCAGTATTTTTTTTATTTACAAAATTCAATTAAACCTGTACTGCATATGTTTTAGCTCAATCGAAGCATTAAACCTGTTCTGCATATAATCTAGCTCAATCGAAGCCTTTGTAGTTGAGTATCAAGGTATGTCTACGTCCGTACAATTTTATGTAAAATAGATTTTCCAATCACAAAAACCTAACGAAGTTCGGTCTAATTAAAATGTCCTGAATTTTACTGTGCAAATTCAAAAATTAGGAACTGTATTTCTAGCAATCCTACTTCCAGCAATTATTGCTGCAGGGACAATGAAAATACCTGGGGGGATGATAGTTGACTACCAGGTCAGCTATTTAGCTTCAGTGTACACTTACGACGATTTATTAATATATATATAATAAAATCTTTATAATCAATATATATCAAGACATTCATACATATGTTGCCCTTAGTCGGCCAAACGGCTGGACCGAATGCAAATGCATAATCTCCGCAAGTCACTTTCCAAACAGTTATCACAATCTATTTTCATAGAACAAATTAAGGATATGATGCATTCCTAATCAAACATAGCTTTTGCAGGTACCGTTGTGTATCTTACATGCTTCTCTATAAACGGAAATAATCAATTTAAATTAAATGTTTACAGCCCCTTTAAGTTTTCTTTATTGTAAACAAATTTCTGTTTAAGCGAAAAATGCTTTTTTTCAGAAATCCCCCTACGTTCTGTTGGGGGGGGTCCAAAAATCGTATACTAGGAAATTACCTGTACAATTATTAATGGATTAGCGTACATATATACTAAAACCTCGTTGGAAAATACACACAAAAATCCATCCAATGCATGTTTGTAAATTGATGTACAGTTTGACGGTTAACCCAGAAGTTTGGAGATTTCGAAAAATTGATAAAATATCGTTTTCTAAACCTACGAACACACTTCTCTGAAGCTTTAACATGAGTTAGAGATTTTTTATTTTTATCTATTTTATTACTTTTTCCATTGGACCTCTGGACCTCTGGACCATATTGGAATTTTGATATTTTATCAAAAAAAACTTTAATTTTGATCAACTTTACTGAACACCGACATTAAACACAAACAAAGCAAAACAAATTAAAATGTCTATTTCAAAAATGAATATCAAAATGTACTACTTTGTTTAAAATTAAATTATAAAGCTTGAACTAGTAAAGCAAGAATGTTTATTGTTTAATCTTTAATCAAATTATTTCCCATTTTGATAATATTTAATAACATTTCAAATATTATTTCACATTTTGATAATATTTAATAACATTTCAAATATTATTTCACAATTTGATAATATTTAATAATATTTCAAATATTAAAAATTAAAAACAAGGTTGCAAAAAGGTATAAAGGGGATATCTTTATTCATAAATGAAATAAAATATTAAAATCCAATTTTTCAGAAGAGGTTCAAATTTTTGCGACATTACTGGTATGCCTTTGTGACCTCAAAACTTATTTATTATTGATTTTACGAACAGGTGTAATTACAAATTCAAACATTCTTTTGTCTGACCTTCTCAACAGGAGCAGATTAAAAATATAAAAGATTTCAATAAAACGTGAATTTTACTTTAAATTGTTATTTTAGCAAATACTATGTCGTCTTCCTTTTCCTCCTAAAATAGAGAATATGCATTGTGAAATTGTCAGACGATGTTTTCAAGTTTAAACGTGTTTTGATAGTGTTGCATTTTTATTTCATTGTTTAGAAATTTAAAGTAAATATTTTCTATGATTTATTTGTATTGATTATTGGGAGAATATAATGAGCTTGCTTCTACATTGTAATATTGGAATGATTTCGTTAAGTTGAATGCAACAATGGTCGGGGATTATATCAATACATTAAATACTTTTCTATTTGAGTTTTTTCAAATTATAAGTTTATAAGTAAACAAAATGAAGCTGTTAATTGCCAGCCTCTTTTACTTTTCATGTGTATCCATGCTGCTTATATAAGCTTGGTAGAAATCAAAAATTGAAATAGAAAGTCGTCTTTATTGTATTAACATATACGACGAAGAATTTTGTTTTAAAGTGTATTGAACTTACCCAGTTTGGCAAAGTTTATAACCCGTTCAAATCTCCGGACTGCTCGAACATTCTGAATAGTTGTCACCACCTAAATAAACATTTAAAGGGACAACAGATGTCATTTTAAGTGACCATCAACATGCCAGATGAACAACGATACCCTTTACATGTTCATTTAATTAATACTGTGAAATTTGTGTCGAATTCTGAAAATTTGCTCAATTAAAAATCCTTCCCCTCTTATTATATTAAGTTACGCCTGTATTCTAAACACTTGAAAACCTACAGCTTTTGGTAAATGTTTATCAAAATCCAAAGGAAGTGAGTCTTTGCCACAAACTTTGATTTTCTAATCACTATATTTTTGCAACCCAATACCGTAGACCTTAGATATTTCAAACTATGAATTCTGTTAAATCAAATAATCTAAGTTTGAAATATCAAAGGTTTACGCCATTAGGTTGCTAAAATATAAGGATTAGAAAATTTGAGCTCGTGGCAAAGACTCAATGGATGGAAAATCATAATATTCATTTTAAAAAAAATTCTTTTTAAAAATTTAAATACACATTTAGACTTTCTCTTTGTATTCTCACATTACATTTATTTTCCTGATAAACAGGGGACCCTTCGGCCCCCCCCCCCCCCCCATGCATATGGAGGAATTCCTGTAAACACCACTAGTAGGAAAAGTAAACGTTGGTTAAGGAAAATGTTCTGGCAACTGATAATTTATGAAACATTTATCTTGTTCAATATCAGGTTTTATATTATCCAGCATACTGTGTCATTTATGCAGTTTACAGCTTCGGGAGAAATACAGGGTTACCCAAAAAGGATGAGACTTCTAAGACGATTGTATGGAATTTACACCGACTGTTTCCATGTATATTTATTATATTCCTTGAAACTGTGAACTTTGCCAAATCATTAAACAAGTCATTAGATTACTATATCTAAGTCAGAATACTTAATTCAATCTTGGGATCCGCACATTTTAAGAGTTTACGGTCGTCTTTACAGTCTAATTCTTTGTCAGTAATCCTGTATGAACATATTTATGCACAATGGTACAGAGTGTGTATTAATATTGAAATTTTTAAAAACTTTACTGTAATTGTGTAAAAACAATTGGAAGAATTCAAATGTGTTTTTAAAAGATAAAATAAGTTTTGTTTAGCTTTACACTACAGAGTACAAACATTTAATAGATCGACTAACGTTATCTCATTATGATTTAATTCAAAAATATCGAAATAAATGTCTTCCAGATGAATAATTAATTATAATTAAGTCTTTTTTATCATCTTTAACATTTTCCTAGTAAGAGACCATTTTCATAATTTGGTATTTGAAACGCAGTTTATTGTCAGAGCAAGTAATTTTTAATTTTCTAAGAAATCTTTTTATGATCGTGAATAGTAAAACAATTTTAGTTTTCAGTTTTATAATTGTTTTCGTTACAATTATTATTACTATTATTTTTACTGTTATATTATCACTATTATTATCAACTAGCTGTGTACGGAAACTGAACTTTCTCTGATCAAAGCCAACAAAATCAATTTAGATTGTGTAAACCAAGCTCAGAACATTCCCGGGAATCTACCAAGTTCCCAAATTGAAATTTGTGAAAATCGGGCAAACTAACATGTGTACAAATTTAGTATGATTTTAAATCAATTGTAAGGAATTTAGTTTTTGTCACACAATCTCTAATTTTCTGATTCTTATATTTTTGCAACACAATGTAGTAGACTTTAGATATTTCATAGCTCATACTTTGAATTCTGAAGATCAAATAATCTAAGTTTGAAATATCAAGGTTTTATATCATCAGGTTGCAAAGATAATAGGTTTAGGTCAAATTATTAAAAGTTTTTTAAATTGTTTTTTTTTTAAAACAAAAACGAAAAAAAGTAAATCTCTTTTAAGACATGATTTTTCTAGTTTTACAGCAAATAATGTATCTAGATAATAAAAAAATGTGTTTTGCATCGAAAAATATGAATCTTCAATTTTTTTAAAAAACAATTATGTTGAATGCATCTAAAAAGTTCTAAATATAAAATAATACGTATTCATATGATTAAGGTTTTAAAAATAATTAGTTAAAAATAGAATGTATATTCTGAAAGTTTTATTTGTTGACGTCAGCCAAATGTTAAACCTTTTTATTCGTGGTTTGTTCGCAACGTAAATTAAATGCAACGTAAAAATTATTGCTGTTTTGATGATTTTCTAGATTTTATTTCATTATGTTTAATACATAATACATTTGTACAAAAACATTTACAACCTAATTTTTTAAAAAAAGTTTACAGGAAGAAGTTTTCAAAGGATGATAAAAAATATTAAACGCTTAAACAAAGGAATTGACTCTTTGCCACAAACTCTGATTTTCTAATCACTATATCTTTGGAACCAAATGTTGCAGACCTTAGATATTTCAAACCATGAATTCTGTTAGATCAAATAATCAGAGTTTGAAATATCAAAGGTTTACAACATTGAGTTCTAAAGATATTGAGGTTTTAATATTTGATTTTGTTCCAAAGACTCAATTCCTTTGAAATTTGTTTTTCTTTAAAATTCAAATTTTTCCAGTGTTTTTAAAACTCCACGGGCAACGTCTTGGGCACTTCAACTAGTATCTGTACATGAGTGTTTACAAAAATATATTAAAAAGCAATATTTGAAAAACTAAAATTTGTTTTACCTCTAAAATATCTAGATCATCGGGACACAATTGGAAAACTGTCAGACTGTCATTGCAGAATTTCTGCAGATTTTAACTTTTATATATAATTTATAATTTGGTAGATTTTAACTTTTATAATTTTACTTCGTATAGATGCCAACTTTTACAATTTATGATTTGGCAGATTTTTACCTTAATAATTTAGATTTCTAAAGATGTTAACTTTGGTATGAATTTATTTTTGTTATAACAAAAACAGAATCAAAACATCTGCCTCAAAAAAATTGATAAAAAATTTCACTTTGCTGGCCAAAAGAAATATATTTTTCTAACTTTTGAGAAAAGTAATGATTTTAGGTAAAATAGTATTTGTATTTGACTTGAAGAAATATCAAATAAAAGTGAGTTTTCCTGATCTTTTTCTGCTACCTGCTCTAACTGCAACCTACCCTCCTCTCGACTGGAAATTGAAAAAGTTCTTGTAGCAAATCTAGTTCTAAAGCATTTTGTACTTTCTTAAAATTGATTATTTATACTTTCATTTATCTTTGGTACTAGAGCTAAAAACAAGCATTAGTTTTGTTTTCTTGTTTTAGACTAAGCACTAAGTGCTTACATTTTGCACTTTCCGACCTATGTACTGTACAATTGTTTAAAATTTCTTAACTAGATGCTGAATAATTTGTACTTTTTGAACCTGAGTGTTGAGACAATAAATCTCTGGTCCCAGTCTTCAACTAGTTCAGGGGTGGGTTCACCGACCTAAAGAAATTCTTTAAATATTTGAAATTATGTATAGATGATTCCTTTTTTCTTTGGATTGCAGACTGAGGAATTTCAGGCTTGATGGCATTTTAGTTCTTTCAATTCAGGCATCTTTGCTAGGCTAATAGAAGATATTACCCCAATAATTAGAAATCCCCGTTTAGTCTTTTTTGAGAAAATTCCCATTAAAGCTTTCTTGTTCTAGGAAGCACATTAAATCCTCGTAATTTTAAGGAACCTTCCAAACAAAAGAGAGGATTGTACAATTATATAAAATAGATTCTTTTTAAATATTTTTAGGTCGAAAACATTATTTCTTTTTTTTACCTTGAATTTGTTCTCAGTAACCTTAGTAGAGAAAGTGCTGTAGCCATTCACAGATTTAGCCTTCATAAGTTTTAATTAGTTTTTCAGAAATATAAAATCATTTACAGTTCGTTTTAAAAGGCACTGAAATATGTTTGTATTCCAAGAACAAATACAAGGGAAAAACTAACCAAAAACTAAGCATGGTTTGTTTTTCCGTATTCTATATTAAAATATGTCAAAGTTTTAGGAATGCTAATGTTCAGAATAAACAATATAGAAATCTACAATAAAACTTTTCAGATTGGGTGGAACCTTTTAAAAGTCCAAAACACCGTTAATTTAAACCATCGTTTATTAACGAACCAAGACAAGCTATAGTTTGCCGGTGTAAACACCGTTAATTTAAAACATCGTTTATTAACGAACCAAGACAAGCTAGTTTTCCGGTGTAAACACCGTTAATTTAAACCATCGTTTATTAACGAACCAAGACAAGCTAGTGTCCCGTTGTAAACACCGTTAATTTAAACCATCGTTTATTAAATAACCAAGACAAGCTAGTTTCCCGTTGTAAACACCGTTAATTTAAACCATCGTTTATTAACGAACCAAGACAAGCTGGTTTATCGGTGTAAACACTGTTAATTTAAACCATCGTTTATTAACGAACCAAGACAAGCTAGTGTCCCGTTGTAAACACCGATAATTTAAACCATCGTTCATTAACGAACCAAGACAAGCTAGTTTTCCGGTGTAAACACCATTTATTTAAAACATCGTTTATTAACGAACCAAGACAAGCTAGTTTCCCGGTGTAAACACCGTTTATTTAAAACATCGTTTATTAACGAACCAAGACAAGCTAGTGTCCCGTTGTAAACACCTTTAATTTAAACCATCGTTTATTAACGAACGTTGGAGAAACGACTGCCCTGCACTGCATCAATAAAGAATTGTAAAAAATCTGATCTTAAATATACTGCAGGGGTAGGTTTTTAATAAAGTGATAGGCGATTATATCAATACAATAATGATGATTTTCGATTGTAATTTTGATTTATATAATTCTGTTAAACAGCATAAATAGTGAATACGCATAAAAATAGAAGTCAAGAGAAGCTGTCAACTATAAATTCTACGCTTTGATTACTTATAAACTACAATTATGTAGATTAAAGCTTGTTCACAATCAAAAATTAAATAAAAAGTGTTTAATTAAGTTTTATAAATCAATCGTATTCTGCATAGAGAATCAGATTTAAAAAATTAATTAGTGCATTAAATTCGTATCTTTTCTACGCGTCTAATCATTGGTCAAGATCATTTATCCCGATCCTGGATTTAAACAGCCATGACAATTATGCATTAACATTTGAGACCTCTAGTACTCATACAGCATTAGAAGACTTTCAAAGCTGAACAGTGCTACAGTTTTGATTATTCTCAGTTTTTTTCGCGTCAGCAAGTTCGGTATTATTTAAATTCACAATGTCAATATACAGTCGTTAAGCGTAAAATAATTATTGATAAGCGCCGTTTTAAAGGATGAATTCTAAATTTTTATTGTTGTACCTTGATTGAAGTTTCTACACTGATCTTCCATCTTTTATCCAATTCCTTCACGATAATATTAAATAAAAATTAATTAATTTTAATCAATAAATACATATGCAGAATTTAACAGATAAATAAATGAATAAATAAGTTGATAAAGAAATAATTTGTAAAATAAATAAGTAAATAGAAAAATAACTCATTTTAAGAAAAAAAAATAGTTTAACAGATTCATAAATAAGTGAATAAATCAGTTTTTAAACAAAGAGATAACTAAATGCAAAAATGGATAAATAAGTGAAAAGACAAAGTACTCAATGAGAAAAATTGATAAATAGACACATAAATAAGTTAAGAAATAAGTGAATAAATCAGTAATCAAACATAACTAAAAAAATCAATGAATAAATAAGTAAAATAAACTTTTTAAAAAATTTTGATGAATAAAAAAAATCAATTATGTCGCAGAAATACTTTCGGCAAATTTTAAAGTCTGACAAATTAAGAGAACAACATTAAATATACCTTTTTTAAATAAAAAAAAAATAAACCTGGGCTATAGCTATGCGCACATTAGCGCGCATCACCATAAGTGTGCTGAGAGGACCAGTTCCAATCTCTTTCAAGTATTCCTCACAAATAAATAAAATCTTAAGTATTCCAAACAAATAAATAAAATTTTAAGTATTCCTAACAAATAAATATTTTAAGTATTCCTAACAATAGATAAAATTTCAAGTATTGCGAACAAATAAAAAAAAATTTCAATTATTCCATAAAAAAAAAAAAAATCAAGTATTCCATAAAAAATAAATAAAATTTGATCTATTTCTAACAAATAAATAAAATTTCAAGTATTCCAACGAAATAAATAGAATTTTAAATATTAATAACAAATAAATGAAATTTTAAATATTAATAACAAATAAATAAAATAAAAAAATAAATATTTTGGTTAACTCAATCACTAAACCATATAAAAAATGCAAGGGAAATTTTATGATTTTTTGAATTTTTAAGATCTGAAGTTAAAGAAGAAAGAGAAACTCTGTAAAACAGGCGGATTTGTTATTTTCCATAGAACAAAAATAGAGAAATTTTGTTCAACTCTGTTTTGCCTGTTCTCAACTACTAATAACTATATATGAAGTTTGTGGTCCCGGAGAAAATGTACAAAAAGATTTATGAAAGTTGTATTTCTCTTTTAATTCTTTCTGTTTACTTTTCTACTTTATTACCTGTCTACTATTTTACCTTTCTTCATGTCTTCTTTTCTATCTGCTACCTTTCTACTACTCTACATATCTACCTTTCTACTTTTCTTCCTTTCTACCTTTCTTCCTTTCTACCTTTCTACCTTTCTACCTTTCTACTACTCTACCTATCTACCTTTCTACCTTTCTTCCTTTCTACCTTTCTTCCTTTCTACCTTTCAACCTTTCTACTTTTCTACCTTTCTACCTTTCTACCTTTCTACCTTTCAACCTTTCTACTTTTCTTCTTTTCTACCTTTCTTCCTTTCTACCTCTCTACTTTTTTCTCATGTTCTACATTTCTTCAATTCTAATTTTATACCTGGTAGTTTTGAGAGTCCAGAAGCTTGTAATTTCCTTCAATAGGATCAGGTGGTGGCGGAGCCAGTTTAGCCAAACAGAAACTGCTCCGCCTTCTATATATATAGAAAACTTTAAGGTGGTAACAAAGGGGCCAGTTTAACATTCAGCAACTACTCCGCCTTCTTTATATAACAATCTAGGAAGTGGCGGAGTTAACAACTACTCCGCCTTCTTTTTTAACACTTTAAGGGAGCGGCGTAGCCTGTTTTGCCAAACAGAAACTGCTCCGCCTTCTTTATTTATTGACTAAACTGGCTTCGCCAACAGCTAAAAATTTAAATAAAACTTTAAGGTGGTTGCGGAGCCAGTAAACCCAAACGGCAAATACTCCGCCTTCTTTATAAAACACTTTTAGGAAGTGGCGGAGCCAGATTATTAAACAATAAGTACTCCGCCTTCTATAAATAAAACTTTACGGTGGTTGCGGAGCCAGTATAGCCAAACAGCAACTATTCCGCCTTCTTTATAAAACACTTTTGGGAAGTGGCAGAGCCAGAGTATTAAAACGATAACCACTCCGCCTTCTACTTTAAACCATGGGCGGAGCCATTTTAGCCAAACAGAAACTACTACTCCGCCTTTTATATATAATACTTTAAACCATGGGCGGAGCCAGTTTTGCCAAACAAAAACTCCTCCGCCTTCTCTGTATAAGTTGAATATGGTAGTTGATTGTTGAATAAAGTTTATTCATTCAAAAACCAATCTACTTGAAAATATTGAAAATCGTAAAAATACCTTTCTCCTGCATACTTTCTACTTTCTTCAGTATCCCCTGAAATTAGTAGAATCATTATGCGGGATTCGTTAAACCCTTTAGTAGGAAGACGACTCAATTAATCGATACAAAAAAATTAAATGATTGAATTATCAATTTATGCAATCTTAGAATTTAGTTTTTTTAAGATGGACATGTTCCTTCATTTAAACTATAAATCTTCTGCAAGATTAGCTTTTTAAAATTCTATCAAAAAAAGATTAGAACTAGTTTTTTATGCAATACATTGCCAAAAAGAGAATTTAAAAAAGCAGAGTAAAAATGTTTTCGAATTATTCTGCCAATTTTTAAATTGAATTTTCAGCGAGCTTTCATCTTCTGAAACCGATCCTTGTACAGTTTTATTCTCTTTTATACAGAGATGGGAATTTTCGGTTTTTTAAAATTCGTTTTGAAATTTCTGGAAATTATCAAAATGATGGTTTTGAGAAGTTGTCGTTTTGAAAAATTTCAAAACGATCATTTTGAAAAATAATCGTTTCGTTTTGAAAGAATAACAATTCCCAAAAAGGACCCTCAAACGAAAAACGATCCTTTTGAAGGAAAAAGTGTATGCTTAAAAAAAGAAGAGAGGGTAACCTTGCCACTCTCAAAATATAGATACAGGGCTAGAAAAAAATAGTTCTTTCTCTGCAATTAGCCGAAGTATGAGGAATGGACGATCAAGAAGAAAGAATGAAAAACAAGAAATAAAGAAGTCTCAAAATGTTTCCATCTAAATCATATTGAAATTTAAAAATATTGTAAAATTTTATTAAAATAAATTAATAAAGTTAAAAAAATATTTTTGGCAAATAAACTTATTTGGGTTCTGGTACCAATTTCTGACATTTTTTGATATCAAATAACAAAATTTTTTACAAGACATAAACTAAAGCTTTAAAAAATGTGCAGTCTTTGAATTCCAGTTAACTATACTGTTACGCATGAGACAACCATCAGATATAGAATTATAAAATTGATTATTTCGCCCCTAAATTCACTTATTTTGGGAGCATTAGCTTTAACAGGATAGTACTAACCAATAACAGTTGTATTGTACAAAGCTTTCAATTGAAACTTTGTGTATCTAGTTAAAACTTAAAGGGGAAATTGCCAGTTATAATAGTGAGTACAGGGTTTTCAAAATTAATTAATTAATTAATTAATTAATAATTAATTAATCAAGTGAGACTTGATACCAAGTGAGGCTTGATATCAAGTGAGACTTGATACCAAGTGAGACTTGATACCAAGTGAGGCTTGATACCAAGTGAGACTTGATATCAAGTGAGACTTGATACCAAGTGAGGCTTGATACCAAGTTAGGCCTGATAGCAAATTTACATGATAGTAAGTGAGGTTTGATAGCAAGTGAGGCCTGATAGCAAATTTACATGATAGTAAGTGAGGTTTGATAGCAAGTGAGGCTTAAAATTATGATAGCAAGTGAGGCTTGCAATTTTAATTGCAAGTGAGGCTTGAAAGCAAGTGAGTCTAATAGCAAATTAGGCTTGATACCATGAGTGAGGCTTGATACCAATAAACATGGGAAATGAAAGACGACTTAAATATCGTCTTTGATTTCCAATAATTGGTAAAGGACATAAAGCACATCTTATAAATTAACGAAGATATTAAGTATTTGAATAGGTTTGTTGAGTTTCAATAAACTGGAAGCTGGAAAAATTTCCTAATATCTCCGTCAATTTTTAATGTAAAAAATGGTAGACCACATTTTGGAAATCCCGAGACTAGTATAATACTACAAATACTACAAAATTATGTTCAAGAAATTACCCCGCAGAAGTCGTCATTTAATTCCCATGTTTATTTTATAACAAAAATATGCAAAAAAACAAGAAAAAATGTTTTACCATTTCCTTGCTCTTCATTCTCAACTCCATCTTCTTCCTACCAGTACAAACAAAAATTTCATTAAGAAACTTCTAAAACAACTGATGAATAAAACTTTATATTTGAATGATTCGTTATATAAATGAATATTGATTATGAATATTATCGTCTTTTGACCAACATAACCACCTATGATTCCCCAAATACAAGGACTTTTTGTTATTTTACATCCCTCGGAACAATTAAGTAAAATAGCGACCCGCTCTGCTAAGTTCTTGTGAAAATAATCGCGCTTTTTCTTCTTTAAAGATGATAAAATATTGTATGTTAACAATTGGTCTTAGTAACGGAAATTCCCTTAAATTCCTTGTAAAATAATTATAAATTATAAATTATAGAATAATTATATAAGAAACAGTTGTTATGATTGTAAAGTGATCCTCCAGCAGTCCGGTTCACGACTGCACCCAACCAACCTTTATCTGATCAATAATTTTAAAAAATTGTTGTTTTTCTATCTAATCTATCTAATCTATTTAATCCATCTAATCCATCTAATCTATCCAATCTATCTAATCTATCTAATCTATCTAATCTATCTAATCTATCTAATCCATCTAATCTATCCAATATATCTAATCTATCTAATCTATCTAATCTATCTAATCTATCTAATCTATCTAATCTATCTAATCTATCTAATCTATCTAATCTATCTAATTTAAAACATTTATTTCTCCATGGCAGTAGTCCGCTCGTCTGTTTCATGGAGAAATCACAATTGTTAAATAATCTATTTGAAAAGAGAAAAACATGGATTTTCAATCACTAGTAATCAGACAACGTTTTTGACACTTTTTGTAAGGAGAGCCAGGGGCGATGGTGACCGAAATTTTGTCAACCCAGTCAAATTTTATGTTTGCAACCATAATCGGGTTAGAAAAAAATCGATTTCTGGTTGCAAAGTAAAATTTGACTCCCCTGGCAAAGAATTTAAAAAATGTATAGTGACTCGGGGAAAAATATGCAATTTAGATTTTGTCGGTGAAAACATGGAAACACGGTGCTAAAGATGGGCATCATTTTTTTAACGAACGAATTTTACGAAAAGTTTTGAAAATACTATCGTTTTATACTGATACGAACGATTTTTCAAGCACTAAAGATTTTTTCTAAAAGAACGATTTATTGAACGAACGATTTTACTTATCGATCTTTAAGAGACAAAAAAAAACGAAATAGAGGGAAAATTAACGATAATTTTCAAAACTAAAGATATCAATTATTTTTGAACGATTAAAAAAAACCGGCCGTTCATGAACAATGAACGAACGAAAGGAAAAAAGCCAACCGCACCCATTTCTACAGATTAAAAAATTTCCATAACCTGACTCAATTTTGCGTGACTAATAATATTTTTTTAAGGGTTCCGTTGTGAATCAGACCTGACACTGACTTGACCTAACAAGAGTCTCTTCAATATAAAATGTAACTCTGAATGTTTTTTTACCCTAATGGTTGGATGAAGAAGGTTTAAAGGTCTGCTTCCTCGTCTTGCAGCGCTGAAAAATGATTAAATTAATACCCAAAATATCTATTTATTTTAAAACTTTGAATTTAAACAAAACAACAACAAAAAATATTTTCCAAAATGAAAACACAGTTGAGACGGCTGGGTATATAAATCTATAGAACTCAAAATCTATGAAAATGCGGTTTATTATGAAATCTGCGGAAAATAATATGATACTTGCATTGCAATGAATAAAGATAGTCAACACTAAAATTCAATTTTCTTATTGCAACCTTGGACAAGACTGAATTTAAAAGGTAGGAGAACCCCGTAGTTTTAGCTGAACCAGGTATATACCATCCGGTTCAACTAGTTCTTTTGTGAAGGTGAATAGAAGTGGTTCGATTTGATTAAAGCAGTTCAACTTATTTTCTTATTCATTAAATCTGCAATCTCATAGTTCTTTGATATTTTAAACTAAATTTTTAGGATTTGCTGAGAAATTCATGGTTTAAAACAGGTTGCAAAAATGTAAGAATAAGAAAATTTAAGTCTAGGGGCATTGGTGTGTTCTGAAAATTGATACCTTCAATAATGTTACAAAATATTTTCACATCATCAGGTGATACAGTGATAACCAGAAAACCATGGAATAGGAAGACGACATTGAAGCAATAATTAAGTTTGATTTTTTACAAAGCAACTGGTTTAAATAGTAACTTAAGAAATACCTTATTAACTGAAATGGGCCAGTTTACACTGCACAATTGATTTTTCTCATGTTCATTAAGTCTAACAGTCGTCTTCCTTTTCCAGAGTTTTCTGGTTCAATCATTTGTGATATATTTAGATTTTAATATTATCTTAATTAAAAAATTATACTGATTAGATTAGATACAATTTCAGATCAATTTTCTTAAACAATTCTTAAAAACGTTTTATAATCCTATAATCAAATTCTTTAATGAAAAGAGACTTTTTATTATTTCTTAAATATTTGTTAAGTTCTCAATTAGAAAAAAAAATAAACAAAAAACATCTAAACAATAATATCTACATTTTCTTTGCAATAAATTCTATTTTCCTTAAAATATTCCCAATGGTAAACCATTAAACCAAATTTGCAAATCATAAATGTTCCAATATGTCTCATGCATACAATTCTTTTTTGTAAAACAAAACTGTTTGCATAATTATAATTAATTTTTATTAAAAAAAAGTTTTAAATTTTTTAAATTACAAACATTTTGGTAGAAAGGATGAACAGACCAGACCGTACAAGGGTTAAAAGTAGTTATAATGTCACAAGCTAGTTATAGAGTTACAAGTAGTTATACAGTTAAAAGTAGTTTTATAGTTACAAGTATTTATAGAGTTAAAAGTAATTAAAATGTCACAAGCTAGTTATATAGTTACAAGTAGTTATACAGTTAAAAGTAGTTATAATGTCACAAGCTAGTTATATAGTTACAAGTAGTTATACAGTTAAAAGTAGTTATAATGTCACAAGCTAGTTATATAGTTACAAGTAGTTATACAGTTAAAAGAGTTATATAGTTACAAGTAGTTATACAGTTAAAAGTAGTTATAATGTCACAAGCTAGTTATATAGTTACAAGTAGTTATACAGTTAAAAGTAGTTTTAGAGTTACAATTAACTATAGAGTTATAATTAACTATAGAGTTAAAATTAATTATGGAGTTAAAATTAATTATGGAGTTAAAATTAATTATGGAGTTAAAATTAATTATGGAGTTTAAATTAATTATGGAGTTAAAAGTAGTTATAATGTTACAAAAAGATATAAAGTTACAAGTAGTTATAATGTTACAAGTAGTTTTAGAGCTAAAAGTAATTAAAGCGTAACGAGTAGTTATAATGTTACAAGTAGTTAAAGAGTAACAAGCAGTCCTACCTACCATCTTGTTTCGTTTATCACTACTATATAATATACAATATAATAGCAACTGTATTCATTTCTGCACTTTTGAGCTATTATTACACACTACAATACAAAGCATAGTCAAATAGCTAGTTTGAGGCCATGTTCAGGCCCGCCTAATTTTGTTGAACAAAATGCGCTGGTTAACTAGATACTTGGTTCACTATACGGGCTGGTACGAGTTTACACTAGGGTTTCCATCGAAAAATGCGAAAGTTTTCGCTTATTTCGCGAAATTTAAAATGCGAAAATTTCGCGAAAAAATTATGCGAAAATTTTGCAAAAATATGCGAAAATTTCGCGAATAATAATGGGAAAATTTTGCGAAAAAAAATAATGCGAAAATTTCGAACCCCCAACAGTTGTGGAAAATAAACACAACTTTAAAACCCATATTATTATTTCAATAGTCTGCATGATGAACATGAAATATACGGCAAATGTACGCTGTGCAGTTAAATTAGACCCAATTGTTAAATTGGTTTTAAGCTAAACTGTGTTTTCATCATAAAAGATGTTCAAAGACTTTTTAAGACTTTTTAAGAACACAATGTAATGAGCATTTTATTTTCTAAATCTTTTCTATTTTCTTGATAAAGGAAATAAAAGTTGCAAATCCAGGAAACTTTCTGAAAATAATAATAAAGCAAATATTAAAATATATTTTTATAAAATGGAAAAGGAATTCACGGTGGAAGGTTAAATTGAGATTTATAGTTTTTCCTCGGAAAATGTGAAATAGGGAACTTGAAAAAGATTTTAATTGAAATTTTTCTGAAAACTGTTTAATTTTAGGTCATCATTTAACAATTTACGTATTTAAATAATTTGTTTAGGAAAAGGAATAGAATTAGTGAAATCTCCAGATTAATTTGTTTTCTCGATAATTAATATTTCTCGTTTTCACATTGATTCTCAACTGTTTATAAAAAGATATGTGATAGTTACTTTTAAGCAACTTTATGTATATACAATATTTTCATAGATACAGAGGTACCCTCAAAGAATCCAACTTCTATTTCAACTTTTAATTGCGGCTTTATCTGTGAGCATCTTCTCTTGTACAGAATAAAACAAAAACCAAAAAAAAAGTTTGCGGATTTCATAGTATTTTTTGCGCATTTTCAAAATTTTACAAAAATAAAAAACTTTAAAACACAAATTTTTAAAACTTTGATCATTCATATACATTCCCTGGGGTCACGAGAAGTCACACACAAAATTTGGGCCCGATCGGTTCAGCCGTTTTGACCTTTATCGGATATAAACAAACAGACAAACACCAAGACAGCCAAGCTAAATTTATATATAGATTTTATAATTGAATCAATGCATAAGGCAGCTGTTTTCCAAATTGAAAACCGAAAACCAATGTCAATCCGAATAGTGTCTTTAAAATTTGATAGATACAATTAAAGGCCGCCCCGCACAAACAAACTTTTAACAAACTTTTTTCTTTGTATTTAGAGTTTTTTTTAAAGTGACACCCTGTCTGTAATAGGTAATATTTACTTGTAGGTGCTTGCACACCCAGTCAGGCAGTTATGATGAGATGGTTCTATCAGATCATGCATCATCCCACTCCTGGGCAAATTTTAAAATTCAAAATTAAAGTTTTTCCATTTTTTTCGGATCGCTACGTGTAGTGTCTATAGGACTGGAGTATAAGATTTAATTAAAATTAGATCTTGAAAAATTTCGCTCTTAATATCCGAAATAATACTTTTCTATTCTGGTTTCTCTAAACAAGTGAATTACTCATGCAGAAACAATGTTGGGAAATTATCAGGATGTATCACTTTTCCATCTAAAAACCCGACGATATCTTCCACATAATTGTTCTGATAAAGGTTTCAATGGTTCCAATGTGAATCAGGTATGGAAAATTGAAAAAAAACGTCTATACTACTTTATTTTTAAACTTACCTAGGCTACGCACAGCATGAAACTAAAGTCCTATTTACTATATAACAGGTTTAGTTCTATATATTTATATATGCACGAATTTAAAACTTCAAAATTAGCTAAAATTCTTGCAAAATTGATTGACGTTTAAAAATAAAAATTAAATTTTTGGGTGAGGAAATATTTATCCCTAGGTTTGTAAACTCCTGTTGAGAGGCCCTAGTATCATTCAAAATATTGTTCTTTTGTTTTGCCCTCTCCTTAATCCACCTTCATGACCCCACCCCTCCATCATCCCTCTTCTTCCTCATTCATCCTTATTCCTCCTGTCCCTCTCCACTTTCCTCTTGATCCTCTTCTATTCCTCTATTTCTCTGAAATTCCCCTATTTTCTGCTAATGGAGGGATTCCCTCATTAGCTGTAAAAAATACAAGGATTAAGTACATTATAGAGTATAGAGGTTATAGGGGTTGGGCACTGGAGACATACAGGGTTACCCACAAAATATGAGATTTATCTTATTAATCAAATAAATTTGGAACCAAGTTTGTATTCAAAGTTTCAAATCTCTGTGCCGCAAATATTAATTGAACCAGCCAGCGATGAGAAATAGTTCAGCTAGCCGTAAAAGCATTTAATTCAGTTCCAATAAAAACTGTGATCATTTTTTTAAATGTTTATTTCAATTCTAAAAATATCAGTCTATCGAAATTCTTTAAACATTTTTGGCTGAGAATACATTTTTTTTAAATTGAATATTATCTCTTGAGTTCTGAGGTTTTCTTTAAAATTGAAATTTGTAAAGTCCTTTCAAACTTTATAATTGCTTTACCTTTTTCATGTGCAAGTTTGAATACAGGAAAATGCTTTATTACAGCTTCTTCACACATTCCTTCATAAATTTATGTACAGTGTGCAAAGTACAATTACATTGTACACATATGTCCATTTCCAAACATAACAAATTCCCAGGAATCTAAAACTCAGGACTTTATTTCCAGTGACATTTTGTCCTAGGACTTCAGAAAACTGACTTTTATGTCCAGGTTTTTATTCCCAGAATCTTTTTTTCCTGTGACTTTCTAACAAAGATTCTAATGTAAAGCTGGCCCACCCGTGTAACAGAGAGTTGTGATTTTTTTAAATTTAGAATTTACAATTCGCATTTATGGTGCAGAGACAGTTAGGGAAATTTTCAGAATTCAACTCGGTTTAAAACAGAAAAAAAACAATTGTCGCTTATAAAGAAGTTTATAGAGTACCGTTGTGAATCAAACTTGCCATTTGAATAATCAATTGAGTGGTGAGCTAGTAATTATAGTAAATATCCCTGTAAATATGTTTAAAAAGAAAAGGCCTGCTTTCAACTCCAACAAATTGTTATCCATCTGAGTCCTATACCGTATTTATCTATACATCTATCTTTGTTTATCTTTTGCTTCAAATACAATTTAAATATTTCACTCTTCTCTATACAAGATATAGGATCGGAAAAAGGGGGTTGGGCTTCAACTCTCAAAATATGACGATCCCAAGGATAAGTTAAGTCTTCTGCCTTAAATACCTTATTTTATGATTTAGCAAATAAAACAAGTTTACAATTGCAGTCGACCTTGTTTTAAAAATTTATGAAAAATTTTATAAGCAGGCTGAATCTATAAGTGGGATTGAGGTGAAAGTTGTTCTTTTTACATTTAGACGTCTAGATCTTTTTATAAAATTAACTTTTCACCCTTCACATCTGCCATTAAGTAGGTTTTAAAAACAAAGACACATGAGGTTTTTTCAGATTCTGAAAGTAGGCTAAGACTATGTCCTGGCTTTAGATGGAAATCCATATCGAGTTATTTTCGAGAAAATTCCATTCAAACTTTGTTGTATAGTTTAGACTGAAAAAAGGCATTTGACTCTGAAGTTTTCGTGAGATTTTAGGCAATCCAAATGAAATGTTTCGAGTATTTCTGCTTCACTATTATTATCATATACATAAATTTATCAATGTAGAATTAACAAATCAGAAGAAATTTTTATAGAGGTTAACCTTAAATGATAAAAATTGAAACACATTTTAGTTGTATATTGTATAAATCTAGTTTTCTCCACTTCTCACTTGCTGTCTATGGGTTTAAGATATTTTAGAGCTCATTAACCTACGTAAAGCTGAGGTAATAAGTGATATGTGTCGAATTTATTAAAATTTCCGGCCATGGCCAATTTGGTTTTTCAGGAGAAAAAAAATATGTCGTAACATTATCCCGATTGCGCTATTTTTGTCTAATATGGATTTTGCCCTTAGAGTTGGGATACATGTCCCTATAAGTCCAACTTTTCAAGGCCTGCTCATTAACTTTGATGGTTAGAGTGCAAGGGAGAATTTTTTTTAAAAGTTTAAAAAGTACGTCTGAAAAATGATCGAAATTAATATTTTTACTTTTGACAAACATAAACATGTGATGATGTGACATATGTTAATCCATCGATTTTTTAAGTGCTTTCAAATATATGAATTTTAAAGTGCCCATCCCTAGTCACGGTACTTTATAAGTTATATTACACCATATGTTTGTGTTTGTATATTAAAGCCTGACTCAAATACATTTGCTAAATGGAAGATGAAAAGATGAAAAGAATGTGTTTGTTCTATTTCTTCTTATGTTTATTAAAATTAGATTTACAAAAAGGCCGCAGCTAAGAATTTTCTAGGGGGGGATTTTAATACGTATACCTAACCCCTCCTAAGAAATTTGTACCGGAGAAATACCTCAAAAACTAAATAATCAAAAGCAGTGAGTACAGAGCTGAAAACTTTAGAATAAGATATCCTTAATCCTGATCGCTTCATCTGAGTATCCAATGTACACACTTTTGATTTTATTCTTAATCCTCTTTTTTTGGATATCCCTACTGTATAAAAGTTACGTTTGATAACAATTACAGATACAATGCTATATCGATTGAACTAATGTCCGATTGAATTAAATTCAGCTGTTCACAAGCCGGCTTTTTGAGCATTTGAGCAAATATAAATTTAATCATGTTAATATGAACCTATTAAAAAAAAAAACTATATTTTATCACATTTTTGAACGATCATCATTCTAAACGAGTCTTTACAAACATTAATCCAAAACTTATATTAATTTAATCGATGTTTAGTTCAATTGATATGACACAGTTAACACCAGAAAAAAAACGGTTTTTCAAACATGATATCACCTGATTGGTTGTATTTTATACTTCTTTCTTGGATATCGAATGCGTATTAAAATAATCTCGGGATTAGTAAAACCAGGAGTTTAAGCATTTAGCTCTGAGCTGAAAACTTTAGAATGATGGACATCAAGATTAATGCTTAAGCCCCTGGTTTTACTAAACCCGATATTATTTTAATACGCATTCGATATCCAAGAAAGAAGTATAAAAGAACCCCCCCCCCCCCCTTGTTAAGGAGCAGCCAATTAGCACCGCCCCCCCTTGTTAAGGAGCAGCCAATTAGCACCGCCCCCCCCTTGTTAAGGAGCAGCCAATTAGCACCGCCCCCCCCCCGTCTGGACGAAATCCTGAATACTACTATGGAGATACTAGTGTAGAGGAGTGGAAGTGTGGGATGAGGAAAGAGTAAAAAGAGAAAGGGAAAAGAAGAGATGAGAAAGAAGAGAAGGAAAATGAAAGGGGAAATGGAAGTAAGTCGTAAAAGGAGATTGTGGGAAGTAGAGAGTGCTGAAACTGAAAGAAGAGAGGATGTATGAAGAAGAAAGGAAAGAAGGGGAAAGGGAAATAGGGAACAGAGGTGGGAAGTACCGTAAAAAAACAGGAAAGAGAAAACTAGGAGAAAGGGGGGGGGGGTAGGGCGGGTTGAAAGAAAGAAAGATGGAGTAAATGTGTGGTGTTTGGTGGGTGGTGATGATAAATTATGTAGTTTTTAAATACAAAAGTAAATTTCAATTTTTTAAAGATATTTACTTATATTTAAAAAAATAATTATTGCAAAACCATGAGAAAAAAAGCTTTAATTTGTTTAAAATGGCTTGTGTTCCCAACTGTTTAGAGTAAAATTTTTTGAGGTTTTCACGAGTTTTGATTATTTGGTTTTTAAGGTAATGGTATTCTTGCTTTATACCCCCTTTAGAAAAATATTTAACTCATTTAACTCTCGGCCACCCTGATGTATGTCAAATTATGGGTTTCCTTTGTTCCCTTTGTCTCTTTTTGATCAAACTTTGACCTGTCAAACATATATTGATCCCTTTTTTCCTTATGTCTCTTTTCGATCAAACTTGACCTGTCAAACATACATTGTTATCTTTGTTCCTATGTCTCTTTTCGATCAAACTTTGACTTGTCAAACATATATTGTTCCCTTTGTTCCCTATGTCTACTTTCGATCAAACTTGACCTGTCAAACATAAATTGTTCCCTTTGTTCCCTATGTCTACTTTCGATCAAACTTTGACCTGTCAAACCTATATTGTTCCCTTTGTTCCCTATGTCTACTTTCGATCAAACTTTGCCTGTCAAACATATATTGTTCCCTTTGTTCCCTATGTCTACTTTCGACCAAACTTTGCCTGTCAAACATAGATTGTTCCCTTTGTTCCCTATGTCCATGCACTTTCGATCAAACTTTGACCTGTCAAACCTATATTGTTCCCTTTGTTCCCTATGTCTCTTTTCATGCTTTT